ATAGATATAGCTGTAAATTGTTTATAATACTCTGAGAAACAACATTTTCAGCCGGCAGATCCCCCTATAATCCTTCACTCTGTGAGTGAACTGAGCACAGACACAAAATATGGCAGCACCCAGAAAGACCTCAGGGTTTCTCTCTTCCTGCAACCCTACCCTGTGGTAACACTTAGGGGAGTTTACAGTCAGCTGAATCAGCACATAGAAAACTTGACATAACATTGTGACAAAGTGGGTGAGAAGCTCTTCTCTTAATCACCACTTGTCACTTAAGTCTTTATTTAATATCAAATCACATCATTAATTCCAGTTGTGTATTTAGCTTTAATTTATTTTTGCTTGTGTAACATTGTAGCACTTACTACTATCCCGGGTTTGTTTGTGTTAGCAATAAGTTACAGTTCACATCAAAGCATAAATTAACTGAAAGCAAACAGACAGTCTTGACTTAGTTCAGTCATTTTTATTTTAGTTCAGTCAAAATATCATTGATTGTTGTTGTGTCAAATCCCAATTCATTAACAAGAGCACATTCACACTCTGATGCACTCCAAACCTGCAGAGGGCAACCACATGCAAAATAAGTTGGTGGAAACCAAACTCTTGGAAAGTGCTCTTAGAGGGACCATATTCACCTGCACACCCACTGGAAAAGCATGGCATGAAATGTTTTGAGGTAGCTCAGTTAGTCCTCTCACCTGCACCTGATCAATCAGAAGATGCAACTGGCAGGAAAAAACAACTTTGAATGTGGATGATGTGTTGAGGTCATGCTTCTCCGTGACTGTTTGGTTGAGTTAGTGAGTAAAATGCAGTTTAAGTTGGACAATTTTGGTTATGCTAATTTAAGCTTATGTATTTTGTTGAAACTTTATGTGAACTTAATGATGAAGTATGTTTATTGTTACTTTAATCATTACATTGGTTTGAGGTTAATTTGAATGACTTTATTTGTTTGAGAATCAAGTAACGGTAACATCTATTCTTTAGGAAAACTTTGAGAGAAAATGTTTATTGGAATTTATTTGAGACTAATGCATGTATTTTCTGTTTATCTTGAAGGTTATCAACCTATTCCATTCCCTCATATTCCATCATTCTGTTTACGTCCATCGAAACTATCAAACCCAAAACCATCTTCAAGAAAATAAAAATCAAAGAATAAGAAGAACTGCGTTGTCCTTTGCATCCTTCAGCAGTTGATCAAGCAGTTTGTTCTTTAGTTCAGTTTCCCATGTGGTTCCATGCAGCTAAAAGGGGATAGCCCAGCACTTCCTGGGTGTTTATCAGATTGATGATGTCATCGCTGACATCACTGGGGCAGCCCATTTTGAAGGAGTTTTATGTCTGAGAAATGTTTTCTTTATAATAATTTCTTTCATGTTTGAGTTACTGGTAGAATGTAATTTAATTATTTAAAGTTAATTTAGGTGAGTAAATGATCTGAGGTTAATTTAAGGGTTTATGTAGATTTCTTTGCTTTAAGAGAAAAGTGTAAACCCACTACTTGAGTTGTGCTGCACCCAGCTGTGGCCATTTTGTTAATGGGGCCATCTATAAAGCCAGGAGACGTGTGCTCTTGCATGAGGAGTGCTGTGGACGTGCTGCCTTTAACATGGTTCTTATTCTGATTTAATCATGAAGTAAGTTGCCTTATTTACATTGAACTTTTGTTGTTTTGTTAAGTTAACACGTGTTGGTTTAAATAAATACTCACCTCTTGGAAAATCTTCATCTGCTGAATTGCCTTTCTACAACCTTCCTAGACAGTTGTGCTAACTACTTCACAAACATTGAGATTGACATTTCTTCCCATGTATCTAACGATGTGGAAAATTCCAAGCTTTGGTCTGCAGGGACTCAGACTTTTTCTGACAAAGTCCAATCAATTAATGTGAACACTGGTGTGCCAATTTGTAAGTGTGGAACTGCTGTTTTTTTCAGATACAGGCAGATCCCAGTCTCTCCTCCTCCAGTGGTTCAAACTGGAGTATTGTTTTTGCTGATAAAATGGTTATCCTGTTTTGATCAGAGTTATCAAACCTTCCTGCTGCTTCTGGTCGTTTCAGTTCCTCTCGTCTCTGACTCACTGTTTGCTATCTGTCAGGGGCCTGCATCAGAAAGAAGGTTCAACAAATTCTCAGGCTGTTTTTGAAACACCTACTCTACTTGAGTACGTACTGATTTCTCTGGCAAAATATTCAGTAGATCATCAGACCAGTCTTCGCTGACTGTTTCCCACAGTGCAAAGCGCCAGGTCAAAGATTGAAAAGGGGGTTTCAACAGGGGGAAGCATCCAGTGCGGGTAAGCCTACCATGTGGGAGGGGCCAGCCAGCTAGCAGGCCGACAAAACCCTCTAGCAAAAAGCTAATTTGTTATTTACATGGACTTAAAGGCCATACAAACCCATCTTGGCTAAGATGACACAAATGTGCTTAAAAATGACTTTTATATTAAAATGCAAAACATTGAAGTTAATGGAACCATTCTTAGGGCCTTGCTTGACTCTGGCAGTGATTAGACACTGGTACACAGGAAGTTTGTACTACCCAACATTGTCAGCAGCAGTGACACCATCCTTATCTGTTGTGTTCATGGAGATGAGAAGCCTTATCCAACAGCTGACATCTACATTAAGGTAAAAGGTCAAACTTACCTTTTGAACATTGAGGTTGCTGATAATCTGCCTTTTGATGCTGTTCTAGAAAGAGACCTACCAGTTCTTTTTGATTAGTTGGAGCCAGAACAAAGCAGACAGTGTAACACTGTGGTAAACAGAATGCAGGTCACACAATCAATGAGCTGCTTTTCAATAAGGAGTTGAAGACCACACCTGAGAAGTCTTGGAAAACCCACAGACAGAGAAGACACAAGAAATTCCAAAAGACAGTGATGACACCACCAACCAGCACTGAGCCAGAGTTATCTCAAGGGTTTGAAGTTCCAGGTAATTTAAGTGATATGCAGAAAACTGATTCATCCTTTCCAGATGGAGCCGGAGGCTGAGTTGGACATCATAAAGGACTCCTTTATCGTCAACAAGAGTCAGTGTTGCAGGTAGTGGTTCCCCAAGCAGCTAGAAACACCATACTTGCCTTGAGGAACTCAATTCCCTGGGTTGGGCACATGGGCCAACACAAAACCACGGCTCGCATTTAAAATCTTTTCCACTGGCCTGGCCTGCGCAGAGATGTTGCTCAGATTTGTGAAAGTTGCCCTCAGTGCCAAATAACATCTGCAAAAACACCCCCAGAGCTCCACTTCAAACACTACCCATTATTGGCAGCACATTTGAGCACCTTGGGATGGACATTGTTGGTCCTGTAGACACCAAGCAAAGCAGGAAACCGTTATATGCTGGTTATAACGGACTATGCTACCAAGTATCCAGAAGTCTTTCCACTAAAATCCATAAAGGCAAAAGCAGTTGATCTCTGTTTGGTACAATACTATTCAAGGGTGGGTTGACCTGATGCTGTCCCTGGGGATCATCGAGTGCTGTAACCCAGTGATGCTCATACCAAAGAAGGATGGAAGAATAAGGTTCTGCATTGATTTCAGGTACATGAATTCAATTTCTTTATTTGATTCCTATCCAACACAAAGAATTGATGAACTGCTTGAAAGGCTAGGAAAACCTTCAGGACACCATGGGGCCCTTTCCAGTAATATCTGGATGACATTATCATTTACAGTAACATGTGGCAGGAACACCTGGAACATCTGCAAGCTGTCTTGGAGCGCCTTCATTCTGCCGGGCTGACTGTCAACCCATCGAAGTGCGTCTTTGTTGCTGCAGAGACAGAGTACCTGATTCACGTCATCGGTAATGGGGTTGTATGCCCTCAGGTCAACAAACCCCAAATTTTGGTAAAGGAAGACTGTGCAACGTTTTACACATGCATACAGCAGAAATCAAGTATATCCTCTGTAAATGTCTCACTGAGTCATGACTGCCTACAATGCTCGAGTCCCACTGTGTTGTTGTGTGAGCCATGTTTACTTAAAGAGAAGAGAATAATAATATACTCACTGCTTTGGATGTCATGTTAGGTCACGGTCATTCTGTGTCAATTTATGTTCAATGTGAAGCTATGAGTTAACCGAGTGTGCTAACGTTAGCCTGCTAACAACAATGCAGGCCACAGGTGATTGCAGCAAAGAAAAATTTTGTCCGCCACTTGCTCTTAATGGTGCTTTATTATGATGCGTTCTAATTGATTACTCCTTTGTGTGAACGCGAGTGGAGAGGGGTTGGAGGTGTGCTGCTGGAGGAGAGCGGACGGCTCAGAATAGTGGAGGTGTCCCCAAACAGCAGTTTGTTTTGGTTTAATGCTGGTGCTCAAAGAGGCGGCATCTACTGGATCAAAAAAGTCACACATTCTTCCTTAAATAATGATGGATGAATTTAAATGTACGCTTTCAAGTAAAATCTTTCTTGGAAATGTTGGAGAGATTAAAAACCATCCCGTATGTCTTTGTGTAGATTTTTATAAAACTAATCCCTTCACAGGGTGATAAAGAAAATGTTCTGACTCTCTGGATGATGTACCTTCATCAGGCCAAGATCTGCTCGCTCACTGTCAGCGACGACTTCATTCCAGGTACGCTCTTGTTTACAAGTACAGTGTATATATACATAGCTAAACACTTTAAATACCATTTCAACTCCTGAACATTTATTATCATATTAACATTTAGTGACAAGTGTAAAAGCCTAATGTCTTGTTTATTGCTACATTGTTGTTTTTCTTTTGGGGTTTTATTGAGACTTTATTTTTGTGTATTGTTGGGATTTTTACATTGTGTAAAGCACTTTTTAGCGTTGGTGTTTGATAAGTGCTTTGTAAACAAACTATGATTTCTAACGGGTAAAAGAGACAGAATGAGGAATAGAAACACAACGTGAAACAGTTGCACAAAGTTCAAAGGCCTGTTGGAAAAGATTGTATGATGATTGTTGTTGTCTTTTCTTCTGCGTAAGGATACCCTGAGTCTTTGGGACCTTCACTTCCTGGTCGTGATTCACTGTTGGCCCGTTCTGGTCGTTCATGACTTTGAACTCACCACATAGTCTTGTTCTGCCTCCATGGTGGCGTATGTATTAGTGTTTTAAAACCTACTACAGCTGTGATTTATACAGAGAAATGGAACTCAAATAATGATTAAATATCTGTTTCACAGCCAAGAGCCAAAGCGGCATGAAGATGATTACACTGACCAAACAGGACTACTGTCAGGTATTTGTACAAATGCTTTTAAAGAACTGTGATATGTGATTTTCACCAGGATGTTCTGAACTCAACATAAAGCTTTTATGATTTTTCAGATCAACTCACTGCAAATACGATTTCTGCCCTCGATGACTGTTTGTTACTCTCTGTATGTGTCTTCAGTCTCATGTCTCGTCCAGACATAAATAAACATGGTAAACAATCAACACTTATTACAGTGGTAAGTGGATCTTGCATGAATTAAATGTAAAGATTTCTGCACATTTAAGTAACATATTTTACTCATTCAGATATTTTACTCATTCAGATTTCGCACACCAAGACGCCATAGTGCCAACATGCTCTTTCTCAGTTGACTCGAAACGTCACTTCAAACGGGAGCTTCTTGTTGTGCAGATCTTGTTTTTACTACATTCCTGTTTAATAACTACTCAAGAAGGTGATTCAAGTTTCAACATATCAAGCCGTCTTTATTATGTCTTTTGTTTCTCAACGATAGTCGAGGAGAGCCGGTTTCTTCTGTCATCGTCGGATGCTTCACAGAGGGTTTGCCTGAAAACTTCATTTGGATGCATTTCCATGTGTCTTCCATTTTCTAAAATATTTGTATTGTTATTTTGACTTAGTTGACTTCTCTTTGATTCCCAGACTTAGCAGACTTCTTCACAAACACATGTTTGATGAGGCTGAGAAGTTTGCCTACCCTGACCTATGTTTTAATTGTGTTCTTTTTAAGGAGGATAATTATGATTCCAAAGAGGTGGAGAATCTGAAGTCCCTGGTTTCCCACCTCCGTCAGCTCCGTCAGAACCTGGACCTGCGCAAGAAACAGGATTGTAGACTTTCACGTACAGTCTTTGAGAAGGTGTGTCTTCTATGAAAAACCCATTTTACGATATACAAGTGTATGATGAGGATGAGGGCCACGTTAAGTTATTATTATTTTTAAAATTTTGAGATTAAACTCGTAAATTTATGAGAATAAAACAAAATGTTTTTTTTAATGTGGCCCTAAGTGTTTAAGATTCAAACAAATCTGAAAATTCACAGCCAGAAAACAAGGGCTGAAATATTGACAAAATAAAAACATGTTTTTGTACCACTTAGTTAACAAGTTTTATTTTAAGACAGAGAGATAATGAATTTCAGTGTAACCATGAATTAAACGGTATTGGAATATATCTGCTGCCTCGTATACGTTTATCATGGATGTTTTTCCTTTTAGGCTGTAATCATTCTAATTGAACTGACTATGACAGGGAAGTGTACGGAGTGTGGAGTTCTTCATGCTGATCGCCCGCCACAGTGGAGAGCAGTGTCCTGACTTGTGATGAGCTTCTTCTACAGTATATCAAGGTAAAACAACACCACCAACCCTTGTGCCCTCCTCAAATGTATTTATATTTTTCTGCTGCGTTAGTTAAAGAACTTTTGACTTGCTCAAAACATTCAATTATTTTCAGGATTGTAACCCTTTAAAATGCAAGGTTATTAGTTGAATGGTGATTAGAGTCTTTGATATGTCAAAGACTAGCAACAAAATGTATTTGATTGCATTAGTCTTTTTTTATGGACACCTTCATGGCCAAAATGTACACACAAAATCTACAATAAAATGAGAAATATTTGCTTTTGTATTTTGCTGTTTTCTGCACTTTGTATGGCTTTTGAAAGAGGGAAAGAGGGAAAGGCCCCCAGTCTCAGGGGTGTGTGAGAGACAGGGTGGCTTCGGGAGAAAAAGGCTCTCTGGTCAGAAAAATAATAATAAAAAAATGAATGAACAAGTAACTTGAGGTTATAGCAATGATTATAATATTTTAACCAATCAGGTGAGACTCCCAGCATTCCTTGCTGGCTGATCTGAGACCTGTTGTTTGTCTTCCAGCCACATCTTCCTGCTTAGCCCATCCTCTGTGCTGAGAACATGCATGTTAGTTTAAATCCAACTCTTCTGTCCTGACTGAGGTTACAAACATCCAAAGTGTTCAGTGGTAGATTGAAAAAACAACACAATGTTGGCTGTTGATTAAAGCTGGATCCGCTAGCCGTTATGCTAGAATGTATTCCTGTGTGCATCTCTTGACTGGCATTCAGACCTTGGGCTCCAGGAGTCCTAGTCTTCTGATGTTTGTCCACCTTCAACACTTTATGTACGGTAACATGGGTTAAAAACAACTATGCTTTTTCCCTGAATTTGATCAGTTATGTTGGTAGCTATGACACACCAAATGTTTTCATAATATTGTTTACAGTTAACCTTAAACATAATACTTGTATTTGTAGTAGCATTTTTTTTTTTAAACTGTTTGAGTGGAAGTTCAATACAACACAACAGACGTCCTTTCTGTTTCTGCGTTTACTTGAAAGTTGGACCCTGTTCCCACTGAGCTGTTAATAAGTGCATAATAAAGTATTTATTAATCTTTATTAGGTTCATACTAATGCCTTATAAAGTCTTATTAATGTCAATAAACATCTTATGAAGGTTGATAAGTGGTCTATAAACAAGTTTATTTGTGTTAATTGATATCTTACAAGCCAATTATAAATGAATTTATAGTTTAATTAACACTCATGAAGTCTTATTAATGTTAATAAACATCTTATTAATGTTTATGACGATATATGAAGTGTCAATACATTTCTAATAAGAGCCTATAAGTGTCTTATAAGACATACAAATGTGTTAATTATGCCTATATTAACACTTGTATAGTATTATTTGTGTTAATAAGAATCTAATAAGGTCTTATAAGTGACTTATTACCTGTTATCAATGTTTATTACAAGCGTATTAAACCTTTATTACAAGCACCTTAATATAAAGTGTTACCCTTCCCTGAACCGAGTGAGAAAGGCCAACTCAAAGAAAAAAACAACAGCATCATCGTAATGGTAACAGCCCGACACTGTCTCCACCCATGTGGATGAAGTTTGGAGCTGTTGATGGCCCAGGACTGATTTAACCCCCCCTGGTTATATTAATGATGAGTTGTGTCAAAGTCATATTTACAGACTTTATAGATGACTCATTTTAAAATAAAACAGAGGTGTTTGGGCAGATGGGAGGCAGATAGGAAGCGGTAAAATGAATATGTAATAATAACAAAAGAAGAAAACAAAGGAAGAAGGGGCTGCGGACTACAAAATAAGACTTAACAGACGATTGCCAGGTAAGTTGTTTTTTTTTTTTTTTTTTTTGGTAATTATTAAAACAAACAGTGAAATATGCACTAACATATTTGACCCTGTTACACAGTTAACCCTTTGTATGTGTTCTGTGAATTAGACCGCGTCTTTTTGTCTCATTTGCACGGGTTGTGGCGGGCTCAGAAGCCACACACTCCTTATGTTAATCAGGCTTTGAGATGATTCTACTAAATGCTAACTGATGTCCCCTGCAGCATTAGCTCATCGTCTACATTATAGCAAAGCTTAAACAACAGGTAATTACTTCATCTAAAGCATGCATGTGTTGCACCCATGAAAAGACCAGGACTCTGTCTTCATTTGGCAACTTTATTCTTCCCGGTGTTGTATTTTTTTATAATTATCTTTAAGAAGCATCGGGTCCTCACAACAAAAACGGCATACATGCGCATTCATCTCTTGACCACGAGACATCTCTTACGTCACCTCTGCACGCAGGCCGATGACTTCATATACCAAAACCTAAAATTAAAAGACTTAATAACAACTTTTTAATTTCTGTGTAAACTAACATGACATGACTGTACCCGTATGTTTTTTTTAATTAACAAATTAAACAAATGTGAAATAATATTATATACAGTACTTTCTAATTTATAGTGTAGTGTGCTTTCTTCTGTCAAATTTAATTGCATACAAATATGTCTAGGTTGCAACACATGTTAAAATAAACAACAACAGCTGATACTCGACGCCAACTTCTAGTGTTAGCTTTTGATACCTGGCCGTCAAACACCTCGAATGCCATGGTGCCAAATCGCTGCTACTGTACGCTACACGCCTGAGGATAACCACACATTTCAAACATGATATCAGGAGAACTCACAGACACATGATAGCTATGTTTCTCATTTTGGGTCTCTTTTTCCTTTTTAGATTTGTATGATGTTATTCAGTCGACTGTTTTCCACAGCGAGCAGCGTGATGTGGATTTGAGTTCTTAAATAACTTTAATTGTCTCACTGTGTCTCAGGTGAGTTCTTCACGAGTATCAAGAGAAGCTCCTGTTTCCTCACACGGCGCAGAAAAGCTTTTATCTTCTCACCTGTGTGATTAAGTGAGACAGGTACAAGTTGTTCACATCCACAGTTCAGCTGCATGCACGGAGCTTTTTAAATATTTACCCACATTATGTTCCTGCTCGTGTTGGCGGGATGGATTAAGTCCGACCGTAACTGAAGCTCTGATTAATACATGAGGTGGAGGACTGAGAGCTGACACAGATGGTGACCTGTTTCTACACTGTGATGAAGAGGAGGAGGAAGAAGAAGAAGAAGAGGAGGAGGTGGAGGAAGAAGAAGAAGAGGAGGAGGAAGAGGTGGAGGAGGAGGAGGAGAGGGAGGAGGAAGAGGAGAAGGAAAAGGGTTATACAAGCTTAAGTTCCAGTTCTGTTAGGTACAGCTACACCGTCAGGGTCACATCTCAAATGCTTGAAATTTGAGTCTAAAGTGTTTGTTGTTCCTTTCTTGGAGGACAGCAGGTAGACTCAGGTGTTCCAGGGAGGTATTTCAAGAAAATATGACTTTGTAGTTGAAGGAACAGTCAGCAGTCACATCGGCTTCTTTTCCATTTGTTGCCGAATCTGCGATCGATAGTCTTAAAAAAAAAAGTGAGTTACACCTAGCAGCTCCTTTAACAGAGTCCGTCTGTGAATGTTCCTCTGTCCGTGGTGCTGAATCGTAAAGTCATATCCAACAGTTCACGGTCATGCGTCCGTCTGTTTAGATGGAGTGTGTCCTCCTCGGTCTGCAGAGTAAAACGTGAGCTCCACCTAGGTCTCAAATGTTTGCAGCGCCGCACTCTCTGATGACTCGTTCAGCAGAAGCGTGTTGTTGTTTAGCTCGCTGCTTCAAGAGATTAGAACGACTATCCTTGGTGGTGGACAAAGACGACAACTCACCGCTTCATTATGGTCCTTAAAACCTGAGCAGAGAATAATTATGTTGGTACTAAATCTAGAAACACCACAAATGAATGATAAAGGTTCATTAAAGGTTGTTTATTTTCAGAATAAAGCACTCTGTTAAGAACGATGATGGTATGTGTGTTTGTTGTTGTGTTTTATGAAGGTTTAATACCACATACAAAGTGTTATCTTGTGCTGTTTGCGAGTTAAATCTATTAAACCGCAGGAACTCTTTTGCCTTGGCGCTATATATTGAGTGGGGCGGATCTTTAATAAACCTCATGACATCAGTTCTGTTTTGAC